TGGGGAAGGGACTGGAGGGAAAGTCCTGTGAGGAGAGGCTGAGGGAGCTGGGGGTGTTTAGCCTGGAGAAGAGGAGACTCAGGGGGGACCTCATCACTCTCTACAACTGCCTGAAGGGAGGGTGCAGTCAGGTGGGGGTCGGGCTCTTCTCCCGAGCAACCAGTGACAGGATGAGACAGCACGGCCTGAAACTGCATCAGGGCAGGTTTAGGTTGGATCTCAGGAAGCCCTTCCTCACGGAGAGGGTGCTCAGGCATTGGGATGCACTGCCCAGGGAAGTGGTGGAGTCACCGTCCCTGGAGGTGTTTAAGGAGAGGCTGGATGTGGCACTAAGTGCCATGGTCTAGCTGATGTGATGGTGTTGGGTCATAGACTGATGATCTCGGAGGGCTTTTTCAGCCTCAGTAATTCTGTTTCTGTGATTCTGCGTTGGAAGGGACAGAGGAGCTTACTGCTTGCCTTTAAAGAAAGGCACAAATTTGAGTGGGAGCACATCTGTCCTTATATCAGACTAGGCTTCTGCTGCTGTCATACTAAATCCTGCTCAGGGCCCTGGCCCTATGTTAACACCGTGCTGCGTCACACTTAGATGCAGCTACTGACACTTTCTAAGCAAAACCTTGAGACTCACCTGAAGCTCTTTTTTCCTTACAGGCAGATCGCAGTCTTTGGCTTTTCTCTTGCAGTTGAACTCCCTCAAAGAGGGTCATTCTAAACAATATTTTGGCTTTGTTTCATTTCTAGCTCCAAACCTAGCAAGTGTTGACAGCTCACTGGCCTCGTTAAATGCATTCCTAGATAGATTTTCTTTACAGTTCCTGGGGTAGGTGTTTCTTTCATCCTGTGAGTATCATGATAAAACAGATCAATTCCACTGTAATGTGCAGGATAAAATAACTAGGGAATAGAAAGTTTGGTCACATATATTGGCCTTTTCCCTTAATATACTGATAGGACTGTAATAGCTGAGGTGTTATTTCTTTAACATAATTAAGGCAGTTTTAGTTTCTTTCTGCGTTTCTGTTTCCTGTTGCCTCTTCAGGCTGCAGGCCCCCTGTCAACCAGCAAACTCATCTGCCTCACTCTCTCTGTGTCTCCCTTGAGTTAGATTTGAGTCTTTTGAAATCTGTTCTGAGGTTTTTATACTGAAGGGAAAAGGTGGGAATGTTTTGGAAATCCTTTTAATTCAATAAATTTAGCATTATAGGTCAAAAGCCTTCTTAATTCTCACTAAAATCATAGAATGGTTTGAATTGGAAGGGATCTTAAAGATTGTCTAGTTCTGACCCCTCTGCCATGGGCAGGAACACCTCCCACTAGGCCAGGTTGCTCAAAGCCCCATCCAGCCTGGCCTTGAACACTGCCAAGGAGGGGACATCGGAACGTCTCTGGGCAACCTGTTCCAGTGCCTCCACACTCTCACAGTGAAAAACTTCTTCTTACATCTAATCTAAGTCTACTTTTTTTCAATTTAAAGCCATTCACCCTTGTGCAATCACTACATACTCTTGTAAAAGGTCATCCCCAGCTTTCTTGTAGGCCCCCTTCAGGTACTGGGAGGCTGCAATAAGTTCTTTTCAGATCCTTCTCTTGTCCAGACTGAACAGCCCCAACTTTCTTGGTTTGTCCTCATATGGGAGGTGCTGCAGACCTCTGATCATATTTGTGGCCCTCCTCTGGACTTCCTCCAACAGGTCCATGTCCTTCTTATGTTGGGAGCCCCAGAGCTGAATGCAATACTGCAGGTGGGGTCTCACAAGAGCAGAGTAGAGAGTCAAAATCACCTCCCTTCACCTGCTGATCATGTTTCTTTTGATGCAGCCCAGGATACAGTTGGCTTTCTGAACTGCAGGTGCATGTCACTGGGTCATCAACCAACACCCCAAGTCTGTCTCCTCAGCTCTGCCCTCAATCTGTTTTCTGCTCAGACTGTATTTGTGCTTGGGATTGGCCAAACCCATGTGCAGGACCTTGTGCTTGGCCTTGTTGAACTTCATGAGGTTGACATTGACATGGGCCAATCTCTCCAGCATGTTGAGGCTCCTCTGGATGTGCCACACAGCTTGGTGTTGTCATCAGACTTGCTGAGGGCGTACTCAATCCTGCTGTCCACGTCACTGACAAAGATGTTAAATAGCACCAGTCCCAATACTAACCCCCGAAGAATACCACTTGTTACTGCTTTCTGCTTGGACATCAAACTGTTGACCACAATTTTTTAAGTGCAACCATCCAGCCATTTCCTTATCCGCTGAGTGGTCCATCCATGAAATCCATGACTCTCCAATTTAGAGACAAGAATATTGTGTGGAACAATGTCAAATGCTTTGTGTAAGTCCAGGTAAATGACATCGGTTGGTTTTCCCTTATCCACCAAAATGCAGGTCTGCATGTTTGAAGGTGTAAAAACTGTTCCAGTTGTATCCCACTGTGATGGTCTGCCATAAATTTTAAGCAAGACTTTTCAGCTGTGGTAACCTGAATGAACAACGTTGAATTTAAAGTGCTCCTGTTCATCCCTTCAGGATATGACCAAAGAAACAAACAGAAAATCCAAATGTGGCCTACACTTTTTATGTCTTTCATATTTATTTCTTACAGCTTCATTTTGTGTTTCCTATGTGCTGATTTTCTTAATTTCAGGATCAGTATTTAAGGTATTAATTTATGATTAACAAGAGTACTTTTAGTGAGTTAATTTCAAGCAGTAGCAATCCAATCCCACAACTGTTTGTCAGCTATGATATCCAAACTTGAATTTGGAGACAGATCCATGGCTCTACGTGTTCATGCCTATATGTATTACAGAATCATAGAGTAGTTTGTGTTGGAAGGAACCTTAGTGATCATCTAGTTCCAACCTCCACGTCATGGGCAGGGACATCTCTACACTAGACCAGGTTGCTCAAAGCTCCATCCAACCTGGCCTTGATACATCTGATGAAACTGGGGCTATGTTACTTGCTGACAGAGAATGAGAGTGAGGTGTAATCAAAGCATCTACAGAGTCCTTTACACCTCAGCAGTTTTCCCCTGAGTAGGACTGTGTCATAACATTTGTTTTCATACACTTTTTTTCCCTATTAAAAAGGGCAGTTGCTAACTGCCTATGCCTGAGAAGATTTGAAAATGAATGATAATAAGAACAAGGCATTACTTTTCCCTTCACAAGCCCTGCCTCATGCAGCCAGCTGAGAACACTAAGAATATGCTGGGTAATTGGCTTTCCTGCATCCCGTGTTTTTAATTGCCTGCATATACAATCAGCTCAAGGTACATTTTTTGTGCTCTAATGAATTTTAGCATAAAGGTTTATTTCCAGATGGATCAACGCTGGAAGAGCTTTTCCGCTGTCTGATAAATATAATTTAAATTAACACATTAATGGCAAAACCCTCCCACCCAAGAAATTAAACATAGAATTTATTATGTAATCGTGTAGTTGTTTTATCTGTGGACAACAAGGTGACTTTTGAAAAAAATGTAGCATTTCCTAGAATCTTTTATATTATGGCACTAGGTTGACACTAATTCATGAACTGTTATGGTTTAGATAAAGTTTGAGATACGTCATTTCAGGTTAAAAAAGCTTATATAAACCTTCTATAATTTTTAATTGACTCTTTGCATTTATTTGTGACTTGAAAAAAACCAAGTAAGTGAAGCTTTTCTTTCCTGACATAGTCTTTTGGATTAGAGACATCTATATGAATGCAGTATGAGGAGTTTTTAAGGCATGTCATTTCTCAGCTGAAAATGTCCCATCTAGTTGCACTGTAAAAGTGAGTGCAGCACAGTTCATAGAGTATACATGAACATTTAATTAATATTGCTGCCAGAGTAAATATGCTGCAGTTCTGACATAGCTGTGCAATCCATATTCATAAAAAGTACAGAAACAAGTTAATATGCTGGATGTTGTTTGGATTTGCACCTGCCTCTGATGTAGCTGTGACTTTGACTGTATCTCTTGACTTCTCCATGCAGCTGTTGTCCCACTTGTAAAAAGAGATAATAATGTTTTCCTTCAGATTCAAGTTACAATGTCTGTAGAGCACTCAAACTCTTGAGAAAGGATTGCTGTACCATAATTATGAAAGACAATGCAGGCATCTGCTGTGATACTGCTGTGAGCCCTGTTCATTGTCCTGTCCCACGTCAACCTGACACGGGAACTTGGCACTAAGAGACAATTGACTTAAACCTCACTAAATAAAGCAGTAATAATTGTATTTACACATTTCTTGTAGAAAGTTTCCATACCTTCTATGCAATGAGCTCTACAATTTGTAGCATCTATATATTTTTGTAATTGAAGACTATACAATTTCTTCTTTCTCCTCACTCTTCATAAGGGAATAGTTGTAGTCAGAATTGCAGTGTGCACAGACAGATACTTTTTTGTTCATTTAATAGTCTTTGATGTGATTTCTCTCAGCTTTGATTGCATCAAAAGATCTAAAATCAGAGGGATCCCTGGTGTTAGAATTAGTTACCTGTTCAAGATTGTAGGAGGCCATCGTGGCTTATGTTCAATCCAGTAGGTCTGATTTTAGTCAACTGTCATATAGAGGCTGCCGCTGATAACTGTGCATGATTTCTGTATTGTTGTAAATGTTTATTTGTCTGTGATATGACTGCATATGCTGTATTTCAGGAAAAGCAGAGGTTTCTGACGGATGTCCTACATGAGGTCATGTTGTTGGATGGTTTGGCCAGTTCTCATCCAGTATCCCAGGAGGTGCAGCAAGCCACAGACATTGACAGGGTGTTTGACTGGATTGCCTATAAAAAGGTGAGACTAATTAAACCTATCTGTCTACATATGCAGATATGTCAGTAGCTATTAGAAGATCATGTTGTATCTGTAAAACAAATACCATCGTAAAAATACACATGCCATTATGGTTGCTAGCTGGGAAACTTTAATTTATGTGGAATATGTTTGGAGTATACCACAGTGATTTTAGCCAATTACATGCAACATATTGAATGTTATTAGATGTTATAAATAAATGAGGGGCTATAAGAATTCAACAAGAAGTTTCGAATATTTTTCTTACTATTTATTTTGTGGCAGTGTCTGAATTGTGTTAGATGCTTTAAAAAGCATGTGTAGTCTTTGTCCTGTTGAAACTCCAGAAAACTTGTCAGCTTCTAAAGTTGAATATACTGGCTTTTCTGTTTTTTTCTATGCATGAGAATTTTTCTGTCAGCTAGTGAAAATTCTGAAGTCATTGCTGAACAGTGAAAGTGGAGGAACTGTCTTGTGGGCTGGCAAGGGGATACATATTAAATTCAGGCAATTTCAAATTGCATTTTGATGAATAGAAAGCCTTTTGGCCAGCTTCGAGACTGTACAGCTTCCATGCTGGAGTGAGAGGGCTGCACGCTTTCTCCTTCATCATGACTAGGCTTGCTGTTAACATATGGCCCAAAAAGCTGGTTGTTTCCATCCTACCACATGATGATTCTCTGCTACACGAGATGATGCATAGCACTGCCTTCATTTCATGAACAAATCTGCTTGATGTGTGAGGCAGAGGCTGCTGCCTGCAGCTTTCTGCTGTGAAGGCTGTGCTGGAGCTCTCTGCTGTCAATTCAGTAATAAGAGTCTTTTTGACTATCATCCCTGTATTTGGTAATAAGTTTTCTTTGCATCATTAGTTGCCCAACATCAGATTGTAACAAGACGGCAGGAGCATAGCACTGACTTGCCTGCTGAGCCTCCAGTTTATCCAGTGCTCATTCTGGGCTACAAAAGAGGTGTATTCTTTCTTACAGTCATCAGTTATTCCCTGCCAGCTATAACTTCAACTTGATCCTCTTCCATGAAAGGATCTTGCACCATTAAGGATGAGCAAATGAGAGTGTGTGTGTGTGTGTTTATGTCCATGTAATAGGTTAGGATGTAATATGCAAACATAAAATACTTAGGAAAATATTTAATAATGCTGGGGTTGCTCAAGAGCCCGAGTAACATTTTCAAAAATCCCTTAGCTGGCTTTGAAAACATTACTCTTGGTCAATTAAGCTATAATAGCCCGCAGCTTTTAGCATACTGAAGTATTCTTATTGTTCAAATGTTCCAATCGTATGTTTGCTGGTGCTAGCTGAACCTCAGTAGGTTCAGAGGCTTATCTCACGTCAGTATCTTAATATTTCAAGCTAATTATTTTTTCTAATTAATATGATAATAGTAATATCACACAGTAAACTGTAATACTTGACACTTATCTTTTCATCTTAGGAACAGGTTGCAAGCATTAGGTAGTTTTCATTTACATCGAAATGAGAAATAGGACAGTGGGACACATCTGCATACTGTTGATGATTTATGCAGGCTAATAGGATCACTCTGTTTTGAGTGCAGGTTAGAGTACAATCCATGTCTTGTATCTGTCCATTTAAAGGTTCCTTTTTCAGTGTAACAGTGGCCATGCCCAGTGGATACAGCGACATCTCCAGTCAGTTTCTCTGATTATCAGCTTTACCAAACCCTAGGTGACACTCATTGTGTTCACAGCAGGGCCTGATCCTGTAAATTTTGAATCCGATTATCAGACCTAGCAAGCCACCTTGAGAAGTGACAAGGGAAGAAATTATTTATGCGCTTTCATGGTTGAAGAGATTAAAAGACCCACTCTTTCACCCATGAAGTCTGTTTTCCTGCCTGATAGCATCTGTCTGCTGCTCTGTAAACATTCATCCTTTCGTTTGAAATACAAGCAATATCTAGTAGGAAGAAACTTTCCCAACTGACTTCATAGCTGCTCTTTTCACTCTTTATGTATCTTCCTCCAAGCACGTGACACTGGTTCGTTCTGAAGATAAATTAGAACAAATTTAACTTTTTGTAGATTTTAGATTATTTCATTCCTATTGTATGCATGCATGCATAGTTTGCATTTAAAATCAACTAGGGAAGCAAGCTCATTTTTAGATAGCTAGAACACATGCCTGTCCTTCTAGCTCTGTAGTGTCTGCCAACATAAATACAGTGATGAGTGGTGTGCCAGTAAAATCTAAACTGTAAAATTATACTGAAGACTTTTACCTGGTCAGGTGTGTGCTCAAATATTTTCAGGTACCTCAAAGCCCTCCTTACATAGTGAGCCGGCTGGAAGAATATTGTTGATGGTGTTTCTGAGATGGCTTTTTGGTTGTTTGCTGACTGATTTTTAAAATTACTGTCAAGTCTTAAATTTTCGGGAATGTTTTCTGTTGACTATAGTAAGTCCATCAGTGAGGACTTTTCTACTGTCTTAAATAAAATGTTAAATTTTAAACAGTCTAGCACTATGTGCAGTATCTTTCCTCTACGTTTTGATATGGGAGTATTTTTCATTCTCTTTTAATATATTTTAAAAAATATTTAATATATCACTTTGCTCCCCGGGACCTTGGATTGTCCATGTGATATCTTTTCTCTCTTTACAGTTTTCTACACGGTACTGAAATGATGAAATTTTCTCCCATCTAATTTTTTTTCAGTGAAATGACAGTCATAGAATGTCATTGTCATTTCATTGTCTTTACTGTCATCAATATGGCATAAATCAATTAGACACCGTTAAAGTGCCCATTTCTGCTAGACACTCAGCTGTCATTTTAAAGATATGCCTCTTCCTCTTTCTGTACACTTAAAAGATGACCAGTGAAACCGTGCTATTTAAATGCCTCGGAGCTGAATGTTTTTTTCATTTCTGCTTTCTTGTCCTTGGTGATTGCGCATGTTAAGAAATCTCATGACATAAACTCCTGAGGAATGGTTTTCAGCAAATCCCACAAGCAGAGTGAAACACACACTACAGCCTGGCAGCACACAATGTTCTACCACTTAAACTGTTGAGGGTAATGTTTGCCTCTTTCGAGAGCATCAGTCTAGTCATTCTTCAGATAGGAGCGTGTCATCCTCCACTAGGGCCACAAATACATAGCGACAAATGAGAAGTCGTGATAGTTCATTAGTAAACAGTGCTGGTAGATGATTCAAGGCTCTCAGGTTACATCAGAGAGTGGGTATGTCTTCCTAGTGCAGCTGGAAGTGAGATAGTGTCCTCCCACGATGATGGGAAAAGTGGTTATATCCCAAGTGCAGTAGGAAATACAGCCTGTTGAACACAAGAGTGGATCTGAGGATTGTTAAATCAAAGCAAAAAGCGTGACAGCCTTTCCACACCAGAAATAACTGACAGCAGGAAGAGCTGCATCAACAGAGGAGAAGTGAGTGCAGAAAAAATAACACGAGGAGCAACAATCAGCAAGGAACAACCGGCTGCAGTAAAATGAAGAAACAAGACAGCTGCATCTCAGAGGGAGCAGCCAGACCCAGAACAGTATGAGGGAAAGAAATCCCAGACAGAACTAAAGGAGTCATAGCCCTAGATGAGCAGTCACAGCCAGACAAGAGAAGGGATGAAAGGGTACCAGGGACACCATAGAGAGCCAGATAATATCTGAAGTTGTTTCTGTACACCTGCTGCGTGCTTTGAAAGTGTGCTGGTTGGAGATTTTGGCAGCAGTCAGAGCAGGCAAGGTCGGTATGATGGAGTGTAACTATAAAAGTACACCCAATAGGATGTTGTGGCAAATGACAAAACAAGGAAGAAGATGACTGGAATAGGGAAGAATATTTCTTTTATTTTTTTTACTCTCTGTAAGCAAAATAGACTCAGCAGTGATATCAGTTGCTGTCTTTCTAATGCAAAAAACTCATAATTTCCCAGTGTTTCCTTTATATGTATAATTTCCTTTTCCTTCTTAACTGTATGCCACTTCTTTAAAAATGCTTTCTTCTGCTTTCGAGTGTCGAGTGATGGAAGGAAGATATATTTCTAGAAGTAATAAAGAGAGACCGTGCTCCCTGCCTCCCCTCAACAGCAATGTTCTGCATTCAGAAATCTGTTCAACTGAAAATTTGCACTAAGAAAAATGCTCACCTTCCCTGTGTGTTGCAGTAATAGTTCTGACAAAGAAGTATTTAAGAAATTGAAAGCAGTGGTTTGCTCACTCTTTTGAGTGTAATTCTCTTTGAAAATTTACAACATAAAATGTTCTGCAAGAGCATGGAAGAAAGAGGGTTAACTGCAGTCACTAGAAAGGCTGTCTTAAAACTTCATGCTTTTTACCTGTGTTCCTCAGGCATTGGGAGGCACTGTAATAACAAAATAAAACAAACAAAGAAAACCCTCAAAATATGTATTCCACCCAGTAAAACTGGGATTAGTATCAGAGTGAAATCCACTTGTTTCATGAGTACAATGAAATTGTGATTATGCATCTATGAAGTGACCACGGAAAAGTGAGAACAACTCATTAGCAGGGAAAGATATAGTGGATAAGTACTCATGAAGAGTAAATAGAGTAATATAGGTTTTATTTTTAATTACTCACTTAACTAAGTTGGTAACATAACATGGAATCCAGCTACTTAAAAGTTACAGTACCATACAATACAATACAATTCAATACAACACAATACAGTACGATACAATGCCATAAAGGTGGCTTTACAAGCCACACTTTTACCACAAGTGTAAAACGAGAGCTTTTTCTTCTGTCTAATTTAGTCATGATGTCACATATGAACACCGCCGTTGAGTCCTAGGAGCACATTTGGTTTCTCTTCCATGACTTTTGAGTGCAGCAGGTCAGTGCCTGGATTGTAGGTGCTTTTAGGCATCATTTGTCCATAATGTGTTGTAAGAGAGAAAGATTTTGTAATGAAAATGTTTTCTTTCTGTTTAGATAAAAAGGTTGTAGGTCTTTCCAATATGAAAGCCATTGAAGCTC